AATCTCACATCATGGATGGAAATCGACCGGTGAAATCAAATGGCTGGTAAGAGAATTTCCCGATGATGTAGAAGAACTTCTACTCAATCCTGAACATGATGAACTGGACAACGATGAAATATTTGATAGAGATTTCGAGAGTGAGGATGAAAGTGACTTTGAGAGCTGAATAAACAGTTTTGTTCGTATTTTTTTGTTAATGGTTTACAAGAATACATATATATCGTAATAACTCATAATGAGATGTACAAAGATGTATGTGTCTAAATACAAACAATTGCAGGTATATTACATCACTTCACTATAACCCCCCCCCCCCTGCGGCTAAACGCACCCGACTCCCCCCGTTTACCATCGCGTTTCGAAACACCCAGGTCTGTACCTACTTGAAAATACCCATCCCGATTTCTCCGGTTTCAGGTGGTACTAAAGTCCACCACAGCCCGGTCTACAATGCCAGAAAGCGTAAATGTTTCCTAATTAATGAGAATAAAGATACAGTGAACAAAATCGTACTTACGGTTCAAAGTTATCTAAGGTAAATTCTTGACTACAAAATCTAAAATAACAATCCTAAAGAAGAAAGATAAAAAATATAATTGTCATTGGTGCCCAAACGAAGTTAGGCATCGTTTTATATTCGCTGCGTGAGTTTATTAGTTAATAGTATGTCTTCACGGTTGTGTTGTACTTGTTTTGCGCATGCTCAAGGGCACCGCACTGTCGTACTATGTCTGGTTCAAACGGTGATTATGATACTTCATACTATATTAGTTGGCAGAAATATTGCTAAATTTTACCTTGTAAAACCAGAGCGTAAGCGGATTCCAGTCTGTGACAAGAAACCACTGTCTAATATCAAACTTTGTGTTGTAAATTAACAGTGGACTTTCTGAAGAAAATAAGAATTAAAGTTTAGATTTCACCCAGGGTTGCACGGTTCACTCCGTCGAAGCTTCTTGATGAAAGTAAACTTTTGATCAAAGAATATATGATAGTGTGAACCTCTTCCAAAGAGACAATTTTTATTTAGGGGTGGTACATAATTGTCAACATTTTTAACAACCCCCTCCAAGAGGGTACTCTTAAATTGTTGAAACTCAGGAATAATGATGATAAATCCACAACCAACACTTCGAAAAGCGTACATCAGCATTAACCCCCAGCGTACGGTTTGTACGCTTGTGAAAATGTTGATAAATATGGATGACCCCTTAGAAGTTTATGTTGCCCCTAATGCTACATGAACTTTTAGACACTAAATTCAATTTGAACGAGTGCTGCGGCGCTTAAACGAGTAAATACGGTAAACCTCATTCAAAAGTCTTCCATTAGTGTTGCATTGTGATTACAGAATGTACATTAGCTGAAGATATATTACTCTAATTTTATATAGCGTATATTGCAGAGAAAATGCAGACCTATATATTTCTGTACAATCCATCTGTTTTCTTTCTTCACTGTACTGCTGACAAGTTTCAAAAGATCGTCTAGCCTATCCATGCACATTATACCACGACCACGTGACTTGGCACCAGGCTTCACAATCCACACGTTGCGAACCCCGTCAAGGTCCAATTGCGGTAGCAACTCTCGCATCTGAGGAAAACAAAATGAAATAGTTCGTGATTTTAACCCAAACAATCCAGTTTTACCTGAAACCATGCTACTCGTACGCTGAACTGACGCGGCAAGGAATCAAACCTTTCAATCTTCAGATGAATGCTTTATACCGACTGCGCTATTCTCACTAGCAAAATAACAAAGTAGTGCGCACTATGGAGTATCGCAACTCAATGCATTCAAAGAGTATATATACCTCTTTTAACATTTCTTCACTTCTTTCCACATATTCTTCGCCTCCTTCTATCGTGCTGCCGTCACTAAAATAAAAAAGCGGACTAAAGTCGATCTTCATATAATATTTCGAATCCGACTATGAGGACTGGACTAGATTTCAAATCCGCGCAATTTGATCAAGTCCGAGGCGAAGCCGAGCTGACTGAATCAAAATGCGAGGACTTGAAATCTAGCCCAGTTCGAATTGGAAGATTTGAAATGACATATCGTATGAATTAATCACCATTTAAAGTGAGGTGAATTAAGTTCGATCCATTCAAAGGACAGAATTGATTTTGATCTAGGACTGGATCAATACACGCGTAAAAATTATGAGCCTGCTGTTTAACGGGATTGAACAATGTTGTGCGGCCCACATTGTTCACACTTGTCAACAATATTGAATAATATTGTTGAGCCTGAATCGGGTGTAACAATATTGTTCAATATTGTTGACAACTGTGAACAATGTGCATGGGCCGCATAACATTGTTCAATCCTGTTTTCATCAATATTGCAACAACCTGGTCGTTTTTAGCTGTGTATGCTTCATCAGGTATCCAGAATTATCATGTGAGCAAAATAAAGCAACATGGTTGGCTAATTTACTCATGAATTATTCATTAATAATGAGATTCACATAGATACACCTACACCATTACCCGGGAAAGTCTGCTAAGGAAAGTAGACATTTTTTAACAGAACGTATATGTGAGGTAAAAATTCCAGCCAATAAAGACTTACTGTATAATCTGATAGTAATAACCAATAAGACTGTCCCAATCTTCATCTGTCAACATCCCATTCTAAAACCAATAATTTCTCGATTACTTTTCAAGCATAATATATAAAGAAATTAGCTGGAACGAATTCTATCTTATATATGAAACATAATTGAAAGGATGCAATTGAATATATAATTGGATTGATGATAAAGAAATATAATATGATTGATTGGAATATTACAACCGAGAATAGAGAATATAGACCGGAGCGCGAATCAACCGACTCAGTACCGCGCTGATATCAACCTCGTTCCCAGGGTCTTTCTTAGAACGGCAGAGACCCTGGGAACGAGGTTGGGTAAAGCCTAAAGACCCTGGGAACGAGGTTGCGCTGATATGGGATTGTTCATTTCCGCACTTTCACCTAAAATGTGTTCTACATTACCTCATATTGTCCATCGATGTCCTCATTGTTCCTACACATGATGAATTGCCTGCACGCCCGTAGGGCAAGCAGGATCGCACGTGACGGTACTTGACCAATCATAGACCGCCGTTCGCCTGAAGTCAAACTGGATCGCGACCTCTGAGACTTCGCAGAACAAGATGGCGAGCGCTGAGTTCTCGAGCGAACTGTCGCCCTGAGCGTTATCGAAGATTTTGTTTTTACCGTAGAATAAATGCCCGACGTTGTTTGGTCGTTGGAATGCTTGATTAACAATTTTAAAAAATTGCAAGCTGATGTAATGCGGTAATCGTCTGCAACAAAAAATTACGTTGGCAAGGTATTAACTTATTAAATAATTCATAGGTTTCCCATGCTTCGAAGGTGCTCAATCTTGGCAAAAGAGCCTCGTTCTCATGAGTACACATGGCCAAGTTTTCCTTGCCCACACCGGGCAAGCCGAAACGTTAGCTTGGCCACTGTGGGAATCGAACCCGCAACCTTTGGGATACTAGTCCAATGCTCTGCCAACTGAGCTACGAGTTCAAGTCGATTCGAGTTGGTGATATTTCGGAACTGAGTCTAGTTCCGTTGATATCAACTTGACCTCGTAGCTCAGTTGGTAGAGCATTGGACTAGTATCCCAAAGGTCGCGGGTTCGATTCCCACCGTCATCAGGCAAACTTTTCAGCTGGCCCGGTGTGGATGCACGTGCAATTAGAGTAACATCACAAACATCATGTCTTGTCAAGTTTTCCTCGGTGGCCATACACCGCCATGTGCAGACCGGCAAAAAATGACTTGATCAAACCATAGAAATAATAGATATGTCTATGTCTATTATTTCTATGGCTCAAACTCTCAATATGAACAAAAAAATACTGCAATTCACCAATAAAAGCATCTTTTTCGTCATCAGACCCAAGGCGGTGACAGCGCGGGAAAAAATCGTCAGAACTTGCGTCTTCAAACCAAGCTAAATTTCTCAGATGTGTACACAGGCCAACCTAAGCAGAATGAGTTATTTAGTCAGCTGTAAGAAACACACAAGTGTTCCTCATACGGTTTTAAATAAATTTAAATAATAATGCTTGTGTTACTGGTGAAAAACAGGCTTACAAAATCACTCAGAAAAAAAGTCATTTCCCGAAACTTTGGCCTGTTTTTAGACGTCAAATTTCCGTGGAATTTAATTCGTTATTACAGTAAATTAATGCTTCTGAGTTTTATCTGACGGAATTTCGAAGTCGATTTCTATCAATTATTCGACGAAACCCGTCAAATGCTTCGAAAACGTCGCCGTCTTAATGTGCTGCATGCTGTGTCGAATAAAATACCATTTAAAACGTAAGTTTCTCTCGAATAAAAAAAAATCCGATTTTCTAGTAATTCAACAAATAACTATAGGTGGCTTTTATGATGATGGCATTTACACAAACGAATTTCATTAGAATCTCATTATTTGATCTCAATCTCCTTCTGTCCACAGAGTCGCAAGCATAGATATCTTATATACACTAGATAGCGCATCTAATTATTCTGCAATTCAAAAATTGAAGCCGTGATTGCAGTCTCAGGTCGTTCCCATGAAATGAGAAGATTCGTTTGTTTTCTATCTCTTAAACAGGGAACTTAAACATTAGGTTAACCCTATTCCAAATACGTTTTTAAACTATTCAAATAATGAAAGTTATTGTTGTTTTTAAGCGTTTATTAGCAAGTGGGAACGACCAACATGGCCGCCATCTATTCAAATGGGGGTAACCGCTGGAATATTCTTGGCTTCAATTTTACTAAAAGAGATGCGCTATCTAGTGTATATAAGATATCTATGGTCGCAAGCAATAGTCAAATGTACAATCCAAGCGCCATAAGCATGATGGGAATAAGGTATTTTATAAGGCAAAATGTAGTAAAAATCATGTATACCCCTGGAAATTGCAAAAATAAAAAGGAGCTATGTTCATAGGCTACCGAAACGGCTAAAAATGTTAAAAGTTGTTATACCCATCTTGTTGCTCTTGGAATGTACAATTGACTGTGACAACCTTAATTGAAATAGCTGTAATGAATTGTACTGTACAGGGTGTCCCAAAAAAACGAAAACTATTGAAATCACCAATAACAATTTAATTGTTAGAATTTGAATGCCTTAGCACTCTGTTGGTTCCCACGAGTGCATAAATGATTGACATAAGTAAATTTTATGCATCTTTATGTTTAAGAAGATGTTTTGAATTCCCAAGAGCAGAAAATCGTGCACTTTACAAGGAGATGTTTTTAACTAAATTTTAATACATGCACCTTGTCTACAGTACAGTATATTTTACGCATCATTACGTTCAGCTTTTTGGTAGGGCATTCAAATTATAACAATAGTGATTTCAATAGTTTTCGGGTTTTTTGGGACACCCTGTATAATGCCATGCGTGTTAGTTCAATAGTTCCCTAATTGTCTGCTAGCTCCAGCCTCTTTAATGAACTTTAATTGTTCATTTATTCCCATGGGTGTACACCGTTCGACTTAAATTAGCACACCCACAACACTTGCATATTTGCATTTATTTATTGCTGTCGAGCACATTTTAGACCGTTCTATTAATCACCGTTATAGAAGTCCAGGTACCAATATACCGCTCTATTAAGTTATGAAACTAACCTTGGTTGTAAAGGAATATGCTTTTGAAAAGTGGTTCGCCATTTGATCCTACAATGGAGAAATGAGTTTGTATTACTGTCACCGACTACGTCTATATTATTCATGTGTTGAACTGGTGTATTGTAGAGGACAAACACGGCACTTAATTAACTCGAGCTAGGAAGATTGGTCTTCGTTATTTTGTCAGGTAAGAGTTATAATTTAAGTTCTTTGGCGTCATTCATACATATCTAAACGTGTATAACATATTTCGGTAGTTTGCCGGACGATGAATCTTTCAAATATAAGCCAGACGAGCAAGCTCGCTGGTGAAAAGTTTTATTCATTCGTGTATTCCGATTCAGCTTTGCCATGCAAGTTATTCTATGACAAATATTAAATATACACTTCAGTGTTCAAAAGCTAGTCATGGAAAGAACTGGCAAAGTACAAATTCTGCTCGTCTATGACTATGAGCACCGAGTCGACTTGCTTATTGTGGCCTACCAGAAATCCAAAAAGTTGTCATAGAAAATTCGCTGTACGTACACAGGAGGAAATAGACGAGAATAAAAGTTGCCATGCATGCATATGAAAACTTGTCCTAGCAAACATGCTATAGTGCTCTGGTTCACTTCACTCGCCTTCCTAAAACATTCAGTGTATCATTTCTCTACCTTTCTTAGATATTTGAAGTCGATGTCATCTCTCTTGCATGTCCAGAAAAACGTCGCGGTTGCATTGCGACAGAATCGCGACTAAACAACGAAAGAATTAATTGCAGATGAAATTCTAGACAAGTCTAAAGCATTGTATTCATGAATTTACTGAAACAGATGAAGCTGAAATGAAGCAGGAAACAACGGTTAAGTACCATTTTACTAATAATGATATAATAAATATTAAAGCCCAGCAAAGTGCTTTTAAAAGAGCCATAAACCATTAATCTTAAAATTTTTAATAAAGATGTAGTAACGTTTCGTCTTAACTTAAGACATCTTCAGACTATATTAAATTACAAGACGAAACGTTACTAAATCTTTATTAAAACTTTTAAAATTAATGGTTTATGGCTCTTTTAAAAGCACTTTGCTGGGCTTTAATATTTATTATTAGAATTTGTTTTCCGTCTGGTACTTCTCTGGTAACAATAATGATATAGTCTTGAATTGCAGTTCGGTGGTACAATCTTTCAATGAAAATTGCAGGAGTTAGTATCATATGGGCGGATTTAGGAGGGGTTAACCCCCCTCCTAGAATCTCTCTAACCCCTCTTAAAAAGTGTTCAAGCCCACCAAAATTTCGCTTCACCCTTCCTATTTTGTGTGAAGGTCTTTAACCTTAATGCCTAACCCCTACCAAAGCTCGCTCAGTGGTGCCGCTTGCACCTCACTAGAAATTTTTCCACCCTTCCTTTAAAAAATATGAAGATCCGCCCTTGGGAAGTGTGATTATGGGAGCTCTAGTTTAAACAACTTATCATTACTCCCCTTGTCGGCGCTATTCTGCCATAACTAAATCATGCTGTTGTCCCAGTTAATGACGCCGCTTGTACTTTCCTCAGAAAGCAATACAGTGTAAATAGTCAATATTTAAAGTGAGTTGAATCTTCAATATCCCACGACAGGGGTATATGTTTCAAGGCGCTACAATTAACTTGGAACGCCTTCATTTTGATACTGTCGTAAAAATGTTTCCATATCTTCTTCTAAATTTTTTGCGGGTATCTCGCTCCACAGAACACAATTTATAACTGGTAGATGACTGAGTGATACAAGTCGTACCAAACGTGGTAGTACACCTGTTCAATGGACTACATAGTATTCTAACATAAGGCATAAGCATAGAATAAAGATCCATATAGAAGGGCCACTTACGTCGGAAGAAGCTTTGAAGTTTCTGTCCTCGCGCATGTTGCATTACGCATATTGGCCGCCATTTTCCTAGCCAGTCAAAGACATTTTCTAGCCAATAACACGCTGTACTGGCTGGCTGCTCCGCCTTCTGGCCAGTAAACTGCATATTTTTGCATAAAAAAACGCGGACACGTTGCACCGCTGAGTGGCCCTTCTGTTACTGCATGATCTATATTCTGTGGCATAAGCAGCGACGTGCATAAGTTGGTTCTAAAGGCCTGTTTACACTTGCAATTTTTGCTGCGATTTCTAGTGGGATTTTCTTCTTCTCATGCATGTGAACGAGTAGATGAGTTACGAATATTCTGAATATGACAATATGTGTACCTTCATCTCAACATTCATAACTCATCCACTCGATCACATCCGTCAGAAGAAGAAAATCGCACTGGAAATCGCAGCACAAATTGCAAGTGTATACGGGAGTTTTCCACTAGGCGAAATTTTTCGACCGAATCGAAATTTTCTTTTGTCTTTTTACAATGGACCTTTCCCCTTATAACTAAAATTTCGATCTAGACAAAAATTTCATCACAGCTTGAAAGAGCATCACAAAATTAGTAATATTCCAAAGTTTTGTTGCAAAATCTTGTAAAATGCGGATAATATAGCCTTGCGCCATTTTTCAGTCATTTTGTATTACAAACGAGAAATTGACATCCGATTCGGGTGTTGGGGCTGCAATTTCCCGTTTGTAATGCAAAATGACTGAAAATTGCAAACTTCGCAAGGCTCTATTTTCCTCATTTTACAACATTTCGCAACGAAACTTTGGAATATTACTAATTTTGTGATGCTCTTTCAAGCTGTGATGAAATATTTGTCTAGACTTGCCTAGATCAAAATTTTGGTTACAAGGGGAAAGGTCTATTAGTTCTGCTTGAGAGCTCATGAAACAAAGAGAAATTTCGATTCGGTCGAAAAACTCCGCCTAGTGGAAAACCGCCTTTACAAGCACTCAGATGGAACTAATCAGAAATCTTTTGAATTTGAACAATAGAAATTTCGGTTCGATCGAAAAAATTCGCCTAGTGGAAAACCGTCTTTAAGGTCCAGACACACCGGACGCGATTCGACAACGCGACGCGATTTTTTAGTTTTTGAAAGTTAATAAAATAGCCATTGAGAGGTAATTTTGAAAGATATGTAGACCAAATAACTCAAAATGTTATAGTGCTTCTAAATATTTGGAAAATTGAAACTAGGATCAAAGTTATCGGTCAGTGAAAATAAAAAAATCGCGTAAGCAAAGTAATATTTTCAATGGATTTCCAAGGAAACTGTCAAACTCACCAGTAAACTATATTCACAATCTTCACCCTCATATCCTGCACTCCATACCGTACTATCTGTACTCTCGTGACCATCACTATCCTCTTTACCACTGCTATCCCTCTTACCAGCCTTCTCAATATCAACGTCATCATCATCTTCATTATCACTGGAGTTTGATTTCTCTTGCGCTTTTTTGTTGCTATTGGTTACAACAGCTGGGCAGCCTTTGAAATGTTTCTCAACCCAACCTCTCTTCCGGAGACTCTTACGAACTACTGGATAAGGTCCGTGGCAGACAAACACTTTATGATTCTAAAACACACAATCGCCCGAAAATCATTTGAAGACATGTCGTTCTATTGAAATACTTGAAATACAGTTCCTTCCTGATGAGCTTTGATTCTCAGCAATACAAACCGATTGGTTCTGATCATGCGTACAAACTATAGACCCATTGCATTGGAGGTTCAATCTGAGCTTCCCTTGAGTGTCAGTGCTGTTTTTGAATAGCTGGAGGGGTAGTGTCGTTCCTTATTATGTGACTACTCACCCTCCAGCTATTCAAAAACAGCATTGACACTCAAGGGAAGCGCAGATTCAACCTCCACTCATTGAGTGTGAGTGAGCTTTTAGAATACAGGCGTAAAACTACCTACATGAAGCATTTCTTGCTAAAACACTAACCTTCATTGCATTTTCCGCCATCTGTTTGGTCTCTCGTAACTTTTTAAACATCGGCATATTGTGATACTTTGAGCCCCTCCTCACTTCACCCGAGACAGTCGAAGCTTTTCTATGACCCTCTTTCGGCTTCATGACTACTTTACTTGGCTTGATTATATCCCCAGGAAGAAGTCCGTTTTTATCATTGTTCGCTCCGGGGTGGGTTTTCAGTCTTTTGTGCCTTCGTAATGAAAGTCTGATTTGGTTCACCGATTGGTATGGTGAATTTTGTGTCAAGTCATTAACTGGTGGTTTTTTCATGGAGTTGTTGTGAGATGGTACCATGTTGGTTCCTTGAGGATCACCAGTTGCCAGGCAGTCTGAGGCTGATCTTGTTAATTCAGTCTCTTCTATTTCATCTGTTTTGCCATCGGTTTGGATTAGCCTCTCGGACCTGCTTTGTTCCTATTTTAATAATATTCATGAAAAAATTACTCGATTCTGATTGCCTAAGATTGAGATTTAAGTTTTGACTTCGGACAGTTAAGTTGAAACGTGTTTTAAGTTGTTGTGCCATTCAAATGAATAAGTCAATTATTTATTACAGGAATTAATTATTCTGAGCCTAGGTGACTGTGTTGCTAAAAGTAGGCGGCTGTGAGGAGCGGGGGGGGGGGGTGGTCTATGGAGTCTTAAAGGCACAGTTCAGCCTTCTTGAATGATGGTTTTTAAGGCGCATTTAAAACCTTTTAAGACTTTTATTGAAAGAACTAACTAAGAAATTAAATCCATTATGCATAATTCAAGTTCAGTAAACTCAATGTTTTTAACAATAAAAAGGTTTTAAAATGTTAAAAACATTAAGTTTGCTGATCTTGAATTATGCTTAATTGATTTTCCTAGTTAGTTTTTTTCATTTAACAGGGCTGAAATGCGCCTTAAAAACCATCATTCAAAAGGCCGAACTGCAACACAACTAAGCTCTGTAATGTATCACTACTTTGATTCAGTCAAGATTAAATAGATGGCAAATAACTAAATAGGTTTTACGAAATAGTATCTAGTGTCGTTTTCGAGAAAACCAGGCTACATAAAGTAGACGAGGTTGAGAAAAAATAACTTTGTTTGTTTGAAAGCTTAGTAGAGGAAGGAGAGCAGTATTGACATTTCAAGTACGAAACACTGGCGGCAAATCTCGTGGCACCTGCCGGAGCTCCGATTTTATTTAGCATGTGTCATTTCATGCCTACAAGTGACCGTGAATTTGCTTCTGCATAATATGTGTATAATTCATGTATATTATTAATAAGTAATAGTATAGTTTCTCGTGCAATTTCGAAAAACACTCGTTTTTCGAAATTGCACGAGAAACTATTCCATTACTTATTAATACTATTACTATATACTATTATACTATACTATTACTTATTTCACAAGAATTGCACTTGTCCTTTGGGCTCCTGCAATTTTGATACGTATTATACTGCTAAATATGAATAAAATATATTCGAAATGTACAATTTTTAATAAATTGTGTATCAGACCTATTATATTAGATGGGTTTTGTAGATGGAAAATTCGAACGCAAATTTATATACTTTTTCATATATACTCTGGTGCAGTGCTGTAAGACTAAGACTAACCATTTGAGGTTATTGAGCTACGGAGTCCAGTTGCTAAGCATTAGCCACAAATTCTTTAAAAAAATGTATATAAATTCGCTTTCGAATATTGCATCTCCGAAAAACCCATCTGCTATTATAGTTATATTGAACGAGATGACTAAACTGAAAACTGGATGTATTAAAAATGGAACGAGCTATATGCACACGTTTATCAGAATAACTTTCATTCCGTATTCAAAAGTCTCAATAATAATTTTCAAGGGCATCACTTTCCAAAAAATCATTATACTTTTACTTCTCAAAATTAGAATCCAATTCTAATACGAAACAATTATATTTACTCAGAATATTAAAAATCTGAGTCAACATCGGTTATTTGACAAATAATCTTGAATTGCTATTTACCACATAATCTTCAATATACATACCACATTCGACCTCTTTTGTTTGTGAGATCGAATCACGGGAACAAGTCGTCCTTGGTTTGCTTGAGATATCGGCATTAATTCCTGATTGTCTAACTAAAAATTTGAAAAATTTTACACGCAACGTATAAGATGCATGAATTTCAATTCTGAAAGCAGGTGCAACAATGTTGCAAATTAGTTTAAGGTTCCTCAAATTAGAATATTGTGGGTTTTGTTCTTGTTAATATTTTATCATATGAATGTTCGGCATGATTTGCATTTTACGAGAACATATAGACATAATATCTATGGGCTAATTAGGCTTTTTGTCACAGTTTGAATTTTGATGACGCTGTTGTAATTGCAGAAACTTCAAAGTTTTATAGTGTTAAAACTTGCCTTTTTAGACGAGTATATTGTCGCGTAACTGGCTACGAAGAGGATTCAGTTTTACCGATAGGCCTGTTCAGTGTTGTGAGATCGAAAAAAACTTCAAACGTGCATCAGAATTGTCTCCTTGACAATTCTTTTGCAATTCGTAATGATTGAAACGTTGCACGAGGGGTTTGCACATTGATTATTGCACAATTTTATAAAAAATCATGTTTCCGAACGATTTAATTGTGCATATACCTAATACCCAACTTATGAATGTAAAAGCCAAAAGACTTATTTCAACATGCATATTCCCTACTTTGTGCTTATAAGCTGATTGACAAGGGATGTTATCGGAATTAGGAATTTCGTTTTAAATATTGAATTTTTTAAGAGAAATAGCTTTTACAATAGGAATTATATCAGAAACAATAGTCTTGATAGATATATTTGACTGTTATAGTCACTGAGATTTCAGCTATTTCTATTTGAGAGACAGCACCCTCCCTTGACAAGTAAAATCATCTGACATTAGACAGAGTAAAATGACAAAATACGGCGCATCAGGGTCAGTTTAAGGTTACAGAACACCTTTGAGGGTTAATTTTGCCTAAAATTTTTTTATTGGTTTCAATGAAAGCAGTAGACTAGTTCTACTATCTGACCAAGTTTGAACGGAAAATGTTGAAAACTCGCAGAGTTATTTAATAAAATACATTTCGCTGCAATAAGAAAAACATTGAAATTGTAAATATTCAAATTCAATTTTCTCCCGAAGAATTTTACGGTAATTACTGATTTTCAAACGACTGAGTTGTGCTCCTGCGGGTTTTGACCAATTTTTCTCAAATTTTCACAGGACATAGCTAAAGACGTCAGTTCAAAATTGTGTTCGGCTTTTTTTTTAATTTTGGATATTTTAATAATAAAGAGCAATTCACTCAAACAATTCAGAAATATATTGCAGCCGCCAAAAAAATCGCCATATCAGCGGAATGACGAAATAAACAAAAAATTCCAAACACAAGTTTTTAGAACAACTATTTTACTGTATAAAAATGATATTTTCATAAATATAACTTAAAACCAGCAGGAGCACAACTCAAAAGCGTAACGGTACCGCGATTTACGATTTTCCTGAATAATTCTTATATTATTTTATTGTTTGTTAATTTTACAACTTTACCATATTTTGCATACACTGGCGAACATTTGGTGAAAATTTGATTTAAATCGGACTGATATTGAGCGCGCAGTAGGGATTTTCCGCAAAACGCCAAAAAGGGTGTCCTGTAACCTTAATGTATATAGTCGCGTTTGTTGTGATGTTGCAAGTCACATTTCTAGAGTAGAGAAGAGATCATTGTAAGTATGTACACAAATCCATCAATGGAAAGTCGAATTGTGAAAGAAAGAAAAATTTCGTAATGAAGGTTAAGGTTATGTATGTAATATAAAAAAAAATGTTATGATATAAAATATTAAAAAACCGTTCCCTTATCGCATTAGAATTCAGAAATCCAATTATAGCCTTTGTAAAAAATTGTAAATCTGTACATAACAAAAACTCGTACCCGTAAAAAACTAATTCCATTTTGATAGAATACAAGCTATTTGCAATAATATTAGAAAAAGCTTCCGTATATCGCATTAAAATTCAGGTATCCAATCAATGTATTTACACTATAAATAGGAACATGCTGTGTTTACTGTTTTGAAACCTGTTATTTGGCCACAAAAATGTACAAGATTTTAAAAATAACCTGCAAAGTTTATTTAACCGTGATTTAACGCATTCAACGTTAACCTCTGACCGGTTCTCTGCTTTTAATTAAAGAAATTCAATTCCAAATTTTTCGAATATTTTGCACTTCACAACACTCGAGAAATCTTACCATTTTTTTCTGTTTTTCGACATGAATAAGTTGTCGTTCAAGGAATGATGTTTTTAAACCCTGTGCGATTTTCTCACTTCGGCTGCTCACTTTGGGCTTAAACGTGAATTTCATTTGCACTTCGGCGACTAAAGCATTCGCCCGCCTTTCTATAGATTCGCGAGCCCGTCCAGTGCGGTCTTTTGCCATGCGAACGCTCGCTACGTTAAGCCTCGGAGTAAACGTGAATTCCTGCTCGAATTTAACCGAAGGCCGACGATGCTGCCTCTCAATAGTCTCTCCCTCTTCGCTCTTGCTTTTAACAACCCCATCTTTAGCTAAATTGCAAGTTTTCGTCTCCCTTTCCGCTGGAAATTCGTCGCAAGTTAGGTTGGTAATTTTTAATCCGCGATTACTATGGGGCAAAACAGCTTCCGTATTTCCACGACAATAATCAGCTCTCGTGTGTTCACGGCATAATGATTCACGCATGTTTCTGTACTGTTCACAGTATTTCAACATTGTCGGTTAACATGAGAGCAGCCGTGGAAATTCGAAGTTCGGCGTTCTATATCTTTGTGTTGTTATGAACGCCATGTTGAACTTTGACGCCGTGGTTGCCACGCAACAGCGTAATTGCCACATCGTGCGTTAAGGTGGCGCTGCAATGTTTTGTGACAAAATTATGCTTGTGCAGATTAATACATTGAATTCTCATGCGAAACTTCAATAAAGACAATAATTGTAAAGAGGATTGCTCAGTCAAAGGCTTATTGAACATGAATTACTAAAAAATTACATCTATTTTACAGTGCGTCTACAGTAAGTGGGGTCACTTAGAGAACACTAACCAATCGCATTGCAGAAAAATCTAAAGCTCGTCCAAATGTCCAATGAAAAGAAAGATTCAGGAAGTCATTAACTGCAATGTTTACTTTTACAAGTATATTTTTACCATTTGATATTCGTTTATTTGTTCAAATTGTTTTTGGCCCAATGCTGATTGGCTAATGCGCCGTTTGTTGATTTTTTCAATTTTTGTTCTGCAATGTGATTGGTTAGTGTTCTCTAAGCGGCCCCACTTACTGTAGACGCACTGTAATTAAAGCTACCAATAAATTTTACCATTTTCATAAAACATAAAAGTGATATAACCAAATCTGGCGTACCACTTTCTAATAAAACGGTCTGAATTTTTGCGGTAACCTCGTGCGTCCGCACGGATATGTGCGCATGCGTCTTTTGATGGGATGGACCTTTATGCGGACTAATAGGCCTGGGGTGAGCGAAATTACATAAACAGCTGGTGGGGTGGACGGCGCATGCATGCACCTTGTACGGTTTCGTCCAAAATCTGCGAGCAACGTGTAAATGGCTGCTTTAATTAAGACTTAACCTGTTCAGCGTGCCTTGACGCCTGTGCAGAGCTTGCTGTCGAAACCATCTGCAGTCTCCTATAAATTCTAATACGCGCGAATGGTATTCTACATCTGTCAGTCTAATTAACGAGACGATGACGTGTTGGGAGAATTTCGATCATTTTCTGTCGGCTCAAATGAAATTTAAGCATTCGCGTTTGCGTTATCGCGTTATTTGTATTGAGTGATTTCTTCAGAAGCACTTTTGAGGCTGCGTCACGCACGGGTGAGGACGAGGGAGGCTGAAGTTTGCGGATCAAAACCATTCGAAAGGAAGGAGAATTTTGGCCGGAGGTAATTAGCATGAATATAAGACAATAATAGGATAGTTGTGTGCTGGTTAAAGACCGCGATATTAAGTTGTCCATAGATCATTTGTTCAATTACTGAAGCGTGCCATCCTACAAGCTCATAAATCGCCTAGACTCGGTTATTCTTTAATTAACATCTTTTAAATTTTATGTAGAACTACGTTTATCGTTTGTGTCTGTTTTCAAGGGAATTAAATTGAGGCTATGCGCAATAACGCTGCGAATCTTCTATCTTAGAACCAACTTAGGGGAAGCGTGAAATATACATTATATTTATTGTACAAACGCAAGAATTCATTTAGCGTTACTTCCTAATTCATTGAATACGTAGTTACAATCCTGGCTCGTTCTTTTAATTTCAATCCCTGCTGAGCTCAATGCTGTGTAATAATATACGGTGTTGGGTTTTTGCCATATGGATGTAAGAGGTTCGCGTGATAACGTCCGTTACAGTCACACGGGAAATCTCACGATATTTTGTTTTGCGCGTTCAGACCGAACGAATTTGAGCGCGCGGCCGACTATATGAATTTCCATATAAACAAATGAATTCGAACGAATTTGCGCATAGTTCCGAATTTTCTTGTGCGATACGCAAAAGGCTTCGATATACGAGTCTTAGATATGCAAAACATTGTTAAATAGACCTAGAAAAATCTGTCTTTATACCAACTGAGATTGAGGAACAGCATACGTTATGGAAGAATCTTAAGGTATCATACTATCATTATATATGGTCAATTTTCCATTGCTTTTAATACGCACCTTTGAGCAACGTTTGGAAATGGCAAATTCAGGATCCGAGGCCGTTTTTATTTTGTTACCGGACTAAACTATTCTCGTGATTTAGTTTGACTTTAAATGCTTTTGTTTATCTTACAAAACCTTATCTACACTTAGTTACTCTTGCGGTCCCTGAGTTTACACAAAAGCTTTTCGCAAGCATTTGATGCAAACATTCGGTAATTCAAATATTGTGACGTCCTATTTGCATCCTTCACTGCATATAAGAGGTTTTTAGCAGTCTTGGTCTGGTCCTACTTCCCAGCTCCAACTACCATCCCTAGTGTCAAATAAAGTCTGTATGTTGAAACAGTTGTGTTGTAGCATTAATCATTGTTGGCATCGGTATTCAAAGATTCCGTTCTGGATTAGGAGACCCTCGCGCAAGACTAACCCCAACAACCGACCTCTACTTCCCAATATATAAAATTGGCGCTGTATATTGAACGTGCCAATCCTGTAATAGCCTCTATTGAAGTTTTGAACTGTCATTTTATTTATTCTCTCATATACAACTGGAACGAACATGAACATGATGCAGTAGTAGAAGCTCGGTTTGCTGAGAAGAAAGACACATGTTCTAAACACTGTCCCCTAAAAGAGTAACTGTCCACGAGTACTTCTAACAGCCACTGGAATTTTATCGGCCGGTAGTTTTAGATCATTGGCCCTGTTAGTGACCAACACTGATGGATAACGCAACTAATGATATTTTGTTACATGCAAAGCGCTACTAACTGCTCTGCCGCCAGGAATAATCTTCATTCTCGGACTTCGTTATAAACCGATTGTGTTTTGGAGGATAATTTCCTTTGTGCCCTAAATAGGTTTGCGTAGCAAAAATATATCTTTCCGACAGAAAGAACGCGATTAGTTTGAGTGACTTATATTCAAAGCAGCATACTACATTCCGGTTATTAAAAATCTTCGAATGATTTAATTTATCGAGATAAGAATCGCACAGGTGGACAGAATTATTTTGAATGTAAATTAATCTGCTTGCGTCACATCAACACCCGTTTCAAATTTATGTTACGCTTCTGTCATTCGAAAGGCAAGCTTAAACTGCCTAAAGCTACCCAATTAGATACAATCGAGGCTGCAATTACAACAAAAAGCTTCGTTGATGCATAAATTCGCGTAACAAATGGTTTCCGTGACTAAACTCCGAAGGCGTTCGGTAAAATGATCCCGCGCAATTCCGAGGTGTGAATGATCGGGGCGCCATGTTTTAATTGGTTTGGAATGAGTTCATTAGTTTATTAAAATTATAGCGTGACTGCAAACGACATGCGTTATCAAAAATAATGGGATGTAGAGATTTGTGAAATTTAAATTTTTCAAACCGCTACGGCGAATGATACATAAGTCGTTGTGCGAATGGTTAGGACAGAAGGCGGATGCGGATACGGATAAAACGCGGAGCGGATATGGGGATAAAACGCGGATATCTCCGTCGCCTGACAAGCAAGCAGCGACGACAGCAAAATATGTGGCGAACTCCTTGCGTGAGTCAGACGCTACTTTAATAATACATCATGACTGACCGTGTTATATCAGATATACAATTACGAGCCGAAACCTTATTTTTAGAAAATCTCCAATTGTGGACTTAGAAAATCTGAAGTATTAAAACTATACATATAACACATGCAAAATTGCCGTAATCAAAATGTAATGCATAATGATCGCCCAAAGGTAGCAGATATTCCACGTCACGCGTATAGGCATTGCTTGCTTTCTGGGCTTCAATTTCAGTACCCGAGATATTACTTCAGTAATACGTAAATTCTGGTCACGACACAGTTATCCCTCATGATCCTCTGTTACTAATCCCAGTTGTTTCTCTATAAGTGTTGCGTAATTCTGCTTTCGGAGTTTAGCCCACCGAGTTACCTGCGGAGGAGGCTTGTATCGCATCATATTTGAGAGCAATTAACCTCGCATATTTATATTACGCGGCACTACTTTATGTTTTATCATGCTTAAGAAAATAAACTTGACCTCAATCAAACAAGAGCTGCTGACAGCTTCAATACTGAACAAGAATGCTATTAAAATGGCAAGCAATATACAACAATCGTTTTTACAACAATAGATGGCTGACCGTTTGCATGCAACTGCAAACACGCACATTAGTGTACAAAAAATGCACTGTTAAAAGCCTAACATACTAGCCCTTGAACAAGCGTACTTGTCATAGTAAAAATAGGCAAGGTCGATACAGACGAGCAAATGAAAACTTGACTCGGACAATTGGCAAACAAAATGAAACTTGCCATAGAAAACTTGCAAAAAAAACCTGCTTGTCTGTTATTGGCTTATTATTGTAAATTCGCTGAAGAATGCACTAAGCAAATTGAATATCAAGTTTGCTTCAAACTATCACAAAGCACAAATTGATCAAAGCTTGTGAAATGTAAACCTTTTTCAAAAACTTTCATCAGAGTCCAAATTTACAAGATTTGGTCAGATTTGGTCTAAAGCACTACTAGAGCAATAATTTTTATAACTATTCTTCATATAAATTAACTTTGAAATGTCACCTGATACTTACAAAAACATATTGGCATTTAAACAGTAGATGCAAGTTTAAACAGTAGATGTAATATAGCTGAACCAAAATTTCCATTTACAATGAATACAAAATTTGTTAACAACAAAATAGATTTTAAATACATACAGTGTCATTCGCATTGTATCATAGGAAAAGGATAAACATCAGGAGTTTTTTATTTTACTTTCAGGAGTTTTGATTAAAATTTTACTTTTAAGTCGAGATATTAATTTTGCAGAGGTTTTTAGCATGGTGGCAGCACTTTCCTTGCGATAGTAACTTCTAGTTTAATTTTATCATTTACGCGTTCGCAAAACTTACCGATGATTGATTTACTTGGTGTGAGAGGGTGACGAAGTTATTTTGTATCTTTTGATATATTTCGTAATAAAAAACTGCACTTAGAATGTATTTCAACATCATAACCTACGAACGCAATGATGCCTAAATTGTATTATTTAAATTAAACGATATTTTCACAATGGTATATCTATATGAGCTCCTAGAACTGTAATTGCTGAGCGCTCCAGTGTGGAATATTAAAATGCACAACAAAAGGGCAAATCGTCAACTAATTTTTTCTCCAGATGCTTTAAACTCTGACCTTTTCGATCGTTATCGCTGTTTCAATAAAGACTGAATCGATCCGTGAGCATAGCTTTGTTTTGCCTTTTAGTTCTGGCTAGACAATGTTTTCATAATTCCGCAAAAACCACATACTGTAACAGCAGGGATTTTTTCCAGATGACAGAGTTCTAGCGTTGTCCCAAATTACAGAACAAAACAGAAAAGAGGAAACAGTCCGCAAAATAAAATCCCGCATCTCGTAACCCGCGATCTCCAGCTCGTTTCCACGATCCGCAATCCGCGTTTCATCCATCCTCATTCCGCGTCTTATGCTATAAGCCTGTCCATTTTTCCGAAATATTCTAAATACTCTTCCGCATTAGAAAGGTAAAAATCTGATTGAAATACCTTGGGGCTCGCTTTTCTCCTGAAAACTAATGCTTTTGTTTCGTCTTAATTTAATAAACAGCGTGTTTTTAATCAGATAAGCAACGGCGTTAACGCACCGAAATTGAATTCAAAAATTAAGCTCATTTTATGCAATTAGTGTGATGTTTATACAAGCGTTCATGAGAAAGACATCTACTTTTCTATGTTGCAGTTATGCAGTATTTCAATACAGCGATACATGCATCTTAATTTGTTGTCTTAAATTTTGGTTATTGAATAAAAGTGTATTTAACTCGTCTCTGCCCTATAGTAGAGAATTGGGAAGTGTTATAGTAGAGTCGGCAACTAATATACCGATAAATTGGATAATAAGATTGTGACTTTGGAAGCCAATGTTAAACTACGGTATGTGTTCAGCACCAATTAACTGTCATTCACTATAAATAAAAACATGCACATTGTCTTAAATGACGAATGGTTGCTTTTAGCCAAAGCGCGAAGGCAAAGATGCCTGTTCAAAATTACTTACATCAAAAGTGCAGATGGCAATTGTAGCTACTTATTTATCGCCCATTTGAGGAATTTCGAACCCCTTGAAAACTGAAGTTAACATATTATCGCACACTATATCATGTGGTTGGTCCATCATAATTTGTAACAACCAAAAAAGGTTCGATATGAAGATATAGCCCTCAGCCTTATAGGTCTGTTTTATTTCCACATTTGGAGCTGGTTTTAAAACAAGTAATAACCTGTTTTCTACCATGACACCCATGTTTATTATCACCATCATAAAGCGTCTCTCGGCCCTCTCCTAAATTAAAAGGCCATTTGCCTGGCAGTATATAGATCAACTGGTTCATATTCATATAATCAATTCACCATCTCTGATTTAGATAAGTCAATATATATAGGCGCATATACTAAAATTAAAACTGTTTCAACGAATGACTCCATCATGGTTCATACATTTGCTGTTTTGAAAATAAGGAATACTCATCCAGTTAATGCCATTTCTTGTGCGTCCAGTGTTGGTACAGCACTACATGATGAACTGATTTGAACTAAATTTCTTTTCTTGAGAATATTTTGTAACTTTTTTGCAATGGATGTATGTGACCTTTGCGTATTTACGTACGAAAAGATGACAGTCTAAAAACAGACGCGACGGTGTTCGACATATTTCGAGTGTTTCGCATAGTCGTTTTCTAAAAATAAGCCCCCGAGTTCCGTTTTAATCCAATTTTAGTTAATTCGAAAACAATTTTCCGCTTCGCTTTCGCTCGTTACTGATTGATGCGATTTGGGGCGTGCAAAGACCCGCTAATATTCGCAAAACTGATGTTTTGATGGTAACATTGGGTAGAGATTTAATTGCGTGGAAGTGTTTACATCTTAGGAGGAAAAACAAAACGTTAGAACGGCAAGGTAAGCAAAGATAAAAAGTTGACAATGACAGTTCGATTAGTATTCCAATGTACATATTCAAGCCCTGATCAAATGAGTGTTAAATTAATGGAGTTCTCAAATGGCAAGCGAGAATTTGCATGAGAATTTTCTCAACTCTCATGCCCCGGTCAAACGAGAACAAGAGTTGCACGAGAGTTAATGAGTGCTGACAATAGATATTATTACCACGCGCATAGCCAGAACGCTCATCAACTCTCGTCAAAATTTGAACCAGCTCCACGTTGTGCAACGGTAGTAGATGAGAAATGGCGGTCACACTTAACAGGAGCGAGCAGTTGCAACCTCTCATCGACTCTCATCCACATTTGACCTGCAAGGGCTTTGGTATTCCTTATCAGAATCTGGACTGAACCAGCTCAAAGTTCATGAGAATTGATGACTGTCGACGGACAAACAAACGCGCGAGCATCTGTTGCAACACTCATCAACACCAAAAGGTTTGTTGGCTTAAATTGAGCCTATATCAACCATGAAGCATGAAAGTCGATGAGGGTTGGGCAAGATTTGCAGCTCGCAGCGTCGCTTTGACCAAGGTCCAAGTCAAGGCTCCTGATGTACAAGCTCGATGAAACTTGATGAATTCCGGCTGAACTGAAGAAGATGGGGAATGGTCAAAATGGGGACCATTTGTACATCATGCAGTCTCACCGTTTTGACATTCGTGTGTTCTTTTTTTATATTTCAGATGGACGTGATAGACGAGTTCAACCCACAAGAATGGGAGATATCCAGTGAAAACGAAGTGGAAGGTAAATATCGAGGGGTTCTGAAGGGGTAAAATTGGATGGGATTTGTCTATATTTGCACTGGAAAAATGCGATTTCGGTACAGGGACTGGGAATGACAGACACAAAAAGGGAATGGGAAAACCAATATACCAATATAAAGACAGTATTAGTTGGACAAAGAGTTAAATAACTTCATGGAAAATAATACGGAACAGGGATGGATCCAGCATGATCTGGTAAGGGGGGGGGGGTGCTCTGCCAGCTCTGGTGACGAGTTGTGTCGGTCATGTGTGCCGCCCGCCCATCAACTTGCTTCACTACTGCAAAGTCATACTTGACTACTGTATTTGAATTGTAATTGTTGTTCACAGTTTGCTTATTATATCATGTTATTACTCAAATTACTGTATATAGCACCCCCCCCTCTGGCCAGGGCTAGGGGGTGCACACCCCCCCCCCATAAATCCATCCCTGATACGGAACAAATTTTGATTGAGAGTTTGTACAAAAATGTCTTGGAAGACTGCATTCTGCCCTCTTCCAGCTCCAGGTCATTTTTGTGCTATCGCGTGTCTGTGGTTTACTTAGTATGTCTAGTATGTGACAGAAAATGACAATTATTTATAGACTTTAAACAATTTACTTCGCAAAATTATTTCTGAAGAAAGATAGGCCAACTTTGCAGTTGAAATTGGGATTTTGTAAAAAGTTTTCTCAGTCAACTGCCACTTTATAGCCTGGTTATTTTAGAAAACGACATATACTATTTCGTAAAACTGATTTAGTGATCTTGAAGTTATATTGTTGAAGAATGAAAGTAGTTATACACTATATTCTTGTTACAGAGCTCAGTTGTGTTGCTATATCTAATCAATATACACTATAGTTAATTTGCATGGTGCATTTAAGACTCCCTAGACTGCTCTCCTCAAGCCACAGCCGCCTACGTTATCAACACAAGTTTGGCGCATGAACAGTACGTAATTTGACCACCACTTTGATTTCCTCCAACAAAATTTCTATAGGTTTTGAAGACTTCAACCTATTCCGAAGAAAGCTCAGCCGGGCTCCAATGGCGGCGAATAATAATTCTGGAGAATATTTCTACTGCGTTCAGGATTCGACAGACAAAGTACGAAGAGTGGTCCTCAGTGGGTGCAAAGGTGCGAAGGATCCTTTATCCGGGGTGGCGAACTGCCGGCTGAAACTCGACGAAAACAAAGGACGTGTGATCGGAATTCAACTCGATTCACAAATCATTGTGAAAAAACAAAAAAGCTAACTTTTTGTGCAGTGGCACTTGTAGAAAACCTGTACATTTTAAACCGTAAAATCTTGTAGAAAAAAAACAAATGGGCGAAAAAAATGTTGCATGTTGGTTAACCTGGTTGCTAACTGGAATATATAATATGTACCTTGCCTATAGTGTATTAATTTACCGATGCGATATTCATTCTTTGCTTTATAGCAAATGACATGCACATGAATTTTTTCATCGCGTTTAAACCTTTGCCATTTTATTCATTCACTTCTTGGGATCTACATTTTTGCAGAAAGTTTCACAGACATATTTTTATGTTTGATACTGATAGCTAATTCCGAATTCCGAAAATTGCACTGATTGAACATCCAAATTACTAAATACAACAATTTTAACATTTTTGTTATTTTCCCCATAATATTTATTGTAATCTTTTGCACAAAATTTTGAGACCTAAACCCAAGTTCCCAGAAAGAACATAAACTTCTCGGAAACTTAATTTTCACCACCCTAAAACGTTCAATTTCAATGGTCATTAAATACCGAGTAAAATCTGAAAAGCATTATTCGAATGTCCCTATTTATATATAAGTGGAAATATTTTGTATCGTGCGTTTTGCTGATTATGTTTTTGTTATGATTATTTTGCTGATACAATTTGACACCAGAAAAACCCCCAAAAATACAGAAACACGAACATTTTAAGACTCTTGCATGCCGCTGCGGTAGACTGGACGCGAGTAATAACAAACACCAACACACATGATTTTGGTAAGGTTGATATTTTACACTTGAAGTTTGTACAATATTAGTTGCTGCTTATTAAAAAAGAGTCAGATTCTTTAGTTTCATGCGTGGAAGTTAGTATAGAGCGGAGAGCACTTTTTTTCAGCAAACGGTCGATTTATTGTTCTGCTTGTGACATACTGCGACTTACATTTTTTTTTAATCTTTACATGTCAAAAAGTGTAAACATTTTTTATCTAATTGGCATCTTTCGTTGCTATCCTTGTGACCACAGCATCAGTAAGTGAACCACATGTCAACTCGCTTTCAGGAATCTTGTAAATCTGGCAAGAATAAAATTGAATAGATAAGATCCCACCAAGATCTTACTTTACTCTATCTAACATCAGACGACTTTACTCGTCAATGGGAGAGCGCTCTGCCGTTGGCTAGCGCTCAATGGGTTAATGACAACAAGATAGTATTTAGGATCTGACAAGATCCCAACAAAGGGTAATTCTAAAGAAGATTCCGTCCAATCGTGAAGTTAGAGGGCTTATATCTAAGGTCCTGACAAGATCCTAACAAAAAGTATTCAATTAAGACTTGTCAGGATCCAAAAGTTAGCAGGGTTATAGTTAAGATCATGAGAGACTAATTATGTTTTATATATACAGTAAAACACCGCATATAAGAACCAAGAATTTAAGAACCGGTTAGGCTATACAAAAATATTCAGACCTGCTTTAAGGTTAGAATTTCAAAGCAGTTTCTTGTTTTATCAAATAGAGTCAAAACTAAGAATTTATAAATCAAAGAAAATATAAGCTCTTCGCAAAGTAATGAAAATGACCCAGAACCCTGGAATTGCCATTCAGATAAATAACATGTCTATAAGACTATGAACACAACAACAAATTGTATTTTTTCAGTGAAAATACTACATGACAATCTCAACTATACTTGACTAGTAACTGTAAGCAATGTTTCCATAGCATTATGGACTGTCAGATAATTTGTACATAATCCATACAAACCACACCTACAAAAAATGAGTTACTTAAGAAAATAAGAACCTGTTTTCAGCCCAATTTTTTGGTAACCACCATGTACACTGATAAAAATCTGTCTAGGCTAACATGGAAAAATCTTCTTATATACAGAGTTAAACTACTGCTGTCTTGTGGGGTTTTGACAATGAAAACATGTGCAGTGGAACTGGCCTGTAGTTGAACATTCTGATCATACCTTTTTTATTTTATTTTCATCAGTAATTGATTGTAATTTGGTTAACAACACTTGTTCTCCTTTGATTAGCGGAATTATAGATTTCATCTACAACGAAAACACAATAGACCTTACCGATTATTCTCTTTTACCCAGTGACCTTGTTTCCATGTTAACTTGTTTTAGCATGTCAGGGGCAGATAAAGATTATACTCCCATGTTTTCCTGGACGAATTTGTTTCTTGCTGTTCTTAGGCTCAATAGCGAAGTAATTTTCAATAAAGCACAAAACATGAGTAAGTATTTGACATGAAAACGAGGCCATTGGGTAAAAGAGAATAATCAGTAAGGTCTATTAGTTTGGAATAGCACTAATTATTAACAATGTTTATGGTTAGGATTAGGGTTAATTTCTATTCCAAACTTACTTTATTTGTTTCGCCTTTACTTATAGCAACAACAAGAACAGCAGGATCTCTTTCATTCAGACCAAATGTTTTAAGAGAATCTGAAATCTACATGTTGAATAATGAAAATATACTATGATTGTGTAGACGCTATACAGGGTGCTGCCTCCTCCGCAGGCCCTTACTATTTGTAGATCAGTGTATATATAGACATATCAGTTTAATATACAGATCAGTGGCTACTGAACAGATTTAAAATTGCTCTCAATTTCGCAAAACACCTATTTGTATCCGGTTTTTATATATACAGCTTCTTTGGGTACTTATAATGTAGAATAATGAAAAAAAATTCTTGAACTCAAATTTTGTGAACCAGGGGGGTGTGTCTTTTCCAACAAACTAAAAATGGCTCGCGCACAAAATTTAAAAGTTGTAATCATATTTTGAGTTAATAGATGGAAAATTTGTCGGGTTTTTAATTACTGTACAAAATTTCAGACAATTTGATTTAGTTTAAGCCCTTTAACTATTCACGCAAAGTTACATTTTTCCTAAAAATCAG